CTCTCTCTCTCTCTCTCTCTCTCTCTCTCTCTCTCTCTCTCTCTCTCTCTCTCTCTCTCTCTCTCTCTCTCTCTCTCTCTCTCTCTCGCAAAGGCAAGGTTGTTTCATGTGCGTGTTTGGTTGCACAACCTCGTCAAATGTTGGTTTCAAACGCGACCAGTGGCGGGACGGTACCCCCACTGCGGGTTTTCTCTCTCACGCGTTTGGGGGGGCGGGCTTAGGATGAGCTGCTGTTTTTGCCGAGCAAGCCCCGCCTTTCATGCACGGGCTGTCGATACGGCACATGGTCAGCTACAGCACGGCATCATGGCACCCACATGAGATGCTGTCGTTGTGTGCGCTTTCATCCCATTTCATTTGGGTCCCAGTCTACTACGCATAGGTACCTGTCTGCTTTACATAGACTCTACACCTCTCGGTGTATGTTTGACGCACCAGCCGGGCTCACACAGGAGGATGACGATTTTTTTTCTACCCTTTGTCTGCTTCAGGGTATTGTTCCTTCGCCTCGCCTCGCCTCGCCCACCTTTCTTTTCGATCGATGAAGTGCCAGGCCAAGCCCCCGCTGATGAGGTCTTCGGAAACGTCGACACCATCACTTGTTGAAGGGCAACCAAGGAGGAGACGCTGAAATGTTTGTCGAATTCTCCCAGCCTTAATCGCTACGAAATATCCGAGTGCACCAATTTTGCAATTATTTAGCCCTTGCTTTGCGCAAGAAGCCACCAACCGTGTTTGAAACATCGCCCATTGGCAACTCGGACGCTAGCAACCCTACCCACGCCAACGGGTTGCATGCAGGCGATGCTGTCGATCTTCCTTGGTGTGGTGAGCGCCGGCGTGATCATGAGCTGCCTCACCCTCGCCGGAAAGGCCGGAGCTCTCGTCGCCACGGCCGTCCTGGCGGTGTTCTGCGTGACCAACATGCTGGGAGGGGGAGAGGACGGGGGAAACAAGGCATCCGACTTCGCGTCCAAGTGACCGGAGACGCCAAGTGTGCGAGGTTTCCCCATCAGGGAAACAGAAAGGAAATGAACTCGCCGGCTGAGTGTTGAAAGCCATTTGGTCGTGAGACGGCCTCTCCTCTGTGAGGCGCCTTTCAAGGGGGCCGTAGTTTCACCGCTGTTGGTGGGCAAGAGCGCCTTATTTTTGAGCAAGAGTGACGATGCTGCCTCGCGCTAAGTAGGCAAATGGATCGCTTCTCTTGTGTTTTTGATTCGCCGTAGTGTTGTTACGATGCTTCGGCGGGGGATTGAAGTGAACTGGAAGTCGAAAGCACCGCAACAGACATCAGCCATTTTATTTCGCAGGTCGTGTAGAGAGCTGCATGGTAGCGTGTGTCGCGAGGTATGAACGAATGGCGCCCTATTGCCCGTGTTCTGTTGATTTTTGTGTTTTCATGTTGCGTACAGGAAGTTGATTTTGAGGAATGCGGTGACGTTTTTGGGCAGCTCGATTCGCTCGGGGTGCGCTCTATCACACGATTTCTATTTTTTTTTAACCGCATGGTTGGGGTTCGACAGTGAGCACAGCGCGTGGTAGTGGGGTTGCCACTTTCAGCTCTGCGTTGCACGCCGTGGAAGGATATTGTTACTTTGTTTCTTTGGACCCGTTTTAACGCTTTAATGTTGCACGTGAGTAGAGGGCCTGAAAAACCTGAAGTGGGGGGGTACCTGGGGTCGAAGACGGTGATTGGTCAACAGCGTAAAACATGATGAGGCTTTTGCAGCCCGGAAAAGCGGAACTTCGGTGTTGCGTGCAGCAAGAAACAATGGCAAGTTGGACAGATATGCTGAATCGAAGTACCCGAGGTGGACTGCACCCCCTATTCACCCCCCATGATGAGCTGAACTCGTGTTGGCGCTACCGCTGACTGGACCGCATGTGGCGCACTGCCCGTGCGGCACCCACACGCATCGCCCACTGCCCGCTGCTGGGAAGTAGCTTGTTGTCTTGCAATGATTCTGCGAGCGAGTCAACTTTTCGCGCTGGTTGGGTTGCGGTGGAGGTTGCTTTCCAAAGTGTGCGATGTCAAAAGCCAACGGCCAGTCCAAATATAAGTGCTAGAGCAAGCCTGGGGAAGAGGCTTGGACTACTAGCACCGCCTGCTGATGCTTAGCTTCGTGTGTGAGCTGATTTACTACCAGTTAGCACCGCTTGCTGATGCTTAGCTTCGTGTGTGAGCTGATTTATTTTTGACAGGTCCTGTTTGGTCACCACGTCACCTCGCGGCAGTGATTTCGCCGCATTTGGGCGTTGCTGAACCTCGATTGGCATTTGGGTGTGGCAAAATTACGTTCAAACGACGCAAGCCCTCTTTGGCCAAAAATCCAATTAGGTGCATCAAAATTGGGTTCTAAATTTAGGCGAACTTTTTACGTTCGAACAGGCCCGAATGTATGGTTGTAGCCACAGCGACGGTGGTCTGATTGACCTCGAAATACTGAACACATGATCTTCCTTCATGTTTTGATCATCTCTTCCTGCAATTACAATTTCAACCTTCACGTTGTGAAGCAATACACCGAGCAAGCACGTCATTTTTTCCAACCAATATTTACGAACCTCCTTCACACGCCCGGTGCCCCCCGCCGGGCCGTGCGCTGGATATGACGCTGCCACAGAGCCATGGGGTACAACTCTAAATAACGCTACTAAAATGCAATGAGGTGAGCACATGAACGGCTGGGCACCTAGACTACCTCTCTGATTTACAGAGGACAAGAGACACTGACAACACACGTTGACAACAATTTGTCCAGTATGAACTAGAGCACGTAATATGCGCTGCTGTGCCCGTCAAAATGTTAAGACCGGTATCAACCAGTGTAGCAGCAGGAACATCACGACCCGACAGCAATTCATGACAAGCAAACGTGTAAATCAACGCTGCGGGTACAGCCATGCAATGCCCCCCTCTCTCTATCATTTCGCGCCGTGCCATACGGTCACACCCTTATCGTTTGCACAATGTACGCTGGAAACATAAAAACAATGGTTTGGACGGATGGCCCAAGGCACCAGCTGACCACCAGCGCATAATGAACGTCAACCCGTAACACCGCCTTCGTTGAAAAGACTCTCAACCAAAACATAAAAAACAGAAACAACCAAGATGGATGCCAAAGCCACACATACGCGATAGATCCTAATTTATCACCCCCCGCGTATCGTGTTCATGCTATATCATCGTATTTTTCATCGCGAAGTCGCGCCTACAACATACTATTAATATTACATCCGTGACAAAAACAGGAATACATCTTGGGTGGTTGCAATCCTCCAACACCACGCCTCACACACACCATTGCCAACACCAGCACAACAGCCTGCACATCATGCATTACAACAGCACAAGCAATAACGTACAAAACAGGTATATACGAAAGATTCTATTCTTGTTGTCCCTCGCTCGGGCCAAAATTCAAGTAGTGCTCGGTTCTCAGGCGGAGGAGGCGGGAACAATTGCGGGGAGACAACACATGAAGCGAGCAATCAGCCGATGTCAGTCACCCTTTGACCCAATCGTGGTCGACAAGCTCCTCGAGGCTAGGGCGTCTCTCCGGAGCCAGCAAGAGGCAAGACTGAATCAAATCAGTCGCCTGGTGTTTTTGATGTTGGGGAACGGAGAGGTAGGGGGGGGGGGACGAGGCATGATAGACAACAGGCACAGCAAATTCGCAAGATATCAGCCAAAATACGCGTACAGCACAGTGTACGGGAAACTNAGATATCAGCCAAAATACGCGTACAGCACAGTGTACGGGAAACTGCGTGGGCGGGCAAGAGGCGTTAGGTGTTCAATTTTCCATTAACAAAAAAACGCCCGAAAAACTGTTGAAAATATGCCGGCATAGAGCACAAAAAGGGGGTGAGGAGCGCACCGAACGGATGCTTTCAAAACTGGGCGGCAGCCTTACAGCTCAATATCAAACTGGGGTGAGATGGGACATTCATGCACCGACACGAGGCGCGCTCTTGCTAGCGACGGCAGGAAGACTGACGCTCTCCTTGGCTCACCTCCGGTGACAGCGGCATATTCCACGCCGACAGCAGTTCCGTGAGTCTCTCCCTTACAGCGACGGTGTGGAATCGCATATCTTGCGAGGGAAGAGCCAGCTCGAAGGGGGCAACGCCCGTCAGCATGCTGCGGGGAACGTGAACGGGGCGGGGTGGACGGGGGGCAGGAGGCTCATGGGGGGGGAGAGGCGACAAGAGAGGGGCCGTCGCCTAATACTACTGCGTGCCACAAATCACCACAAACATCCCTCTGACTTATTTGTACGATTCGATTGTTTGATCACTACGCGACAAGGCAACCTCACGGAGCACAACGACGCCCGATGCGACAACCGTAATTGTTCCACAAATGAGGCAATCCAGTCCAACACGACACCACTGGCAAGTGCGAGGCTTCGGCAGCAGGAGGACAACCAGCTTGCCCCACTCACGCGAAGACAAGGATGCCGCACGCCCACACGTCCACGGCGAACCCGTCGAATCCGCTTGAGGTTGAGCTTGCCACGACCTCTGGCGCCATGTAGTACGGCTTCCCGCACGGTCCCTGGGGCGGAATGATCCTTGCGCTGCCGTCCTCGCTCTGGGGGATGCGCAGTGCCAGCCCGAAGTCGACAAGCTTCACCACACCCTCCTCGGCGAACAGCAGGTTCTCCAGACTCACGTCCCTGCGTATCAGATGCCCGCCAAACGTGAAGGAGGACAGCGAACAAAAAAACACACATGTGGTGAAAGACAAGGGTAAGGAATGTGGTAAATACTTGGGTTTTGGTGTGCCATATTCTGGTGAGCAACAAAAAATCAGGTTAAGTTCAAAATGGCCTGAGGATTCACGCCAAGAGAAAACAAAAAGGTGACACAACCTACGATGGCTACGTAGACAAGCCATGCGGCGGCAACAATTGCCTCTGCCAACACCTTCTACACAAGCATGTACGCGAAGAGCACTAAATATCGCCGAACCACAAACACTCCGCCTCTCTTATGATTCTCTCGAAAGGAACACTACCACTGCTGCTGTTCGCGCATCACAGGACGGCGAGATACGGCCACACCGTACGTGCCCGCTCACCGGTGGCAGACTCCGTGTCTCTTGAGATGGAGTAGCCCATCCAGCACCTGGCGGAATAGCAGTCGCGCCTGACCCTCTTCAAATTGCCCGCTGGCTGACAGCACGTTGAACACCTCGCCCCCGCTGAAGAACGGCGTCACGATGTACATGTTGTTCTCGTCCAAGAGCGCCTGTATTCAAAACGGTCCACAACAAGGCAGGCTAAAACATGAGCCAGCATGTCGGGAGTGTTGAGGTTAACCCAAACAATACGCGTGATAATCCGAAACGTACCATGACATACCCAGCCAACAGTTGCATAGGTGTATTAACCACAACAAACTTCACTGAATGCACGAATGACTCAGCTAAAAGAATATAACGCAAAGTATGGCAACCCATGGTGCACCATTTTGTCGATATGTGTGGTCCAGCCTACTTTTTTTTTACTGTGAAGAGACGGCAACAGCGGTATGTAGGAAGAGGTAGCGCATGCCAACAGCAACAACAACGACAACCAACAAAAACAGCACATGTAACAGGTGCAAACGACAATTTGTTCTGCTTGTTTCTTCTGCTGATTCTTTAAGCACACGATCTGCCTGACCTCCGTGCAATCGAGGACGTTCGGGTGTTTGGGAAGGTACTGCAGCGCGGCGACCTCCTTCAGCGGATCCTCGTGCGTCCGTCCCTGCATCTCGATCAGCTTCTCCAACTTTAGTTCCTGCAATAAACGCGAGTAAATGAGCAAATTGTACACAGCAGGCGGCGAATACGTGGGAAGGGTGATGAGCAACGATGTGCCATGACTACCTCAAGCATTCTTGTGTATCTTCAAAGTGCAACCAAGCAAGAGACAGGTGTGCCACACACGTGGAAGCCCCTCAACCATGGACGCACTTCGTCTACAGCAGTACACATGAAGAACATGATTGAATAGTCTTCAACTCCTGCTGCAGACCTTCTCGTTTCATCCAACACAAGTGCTCGGGCGCCGAGAAGTACCTATACTCACGTCTGACGACGACGCGCAATCACCTCTGTTCATCCAACACAAGTGCACGGGCGCCGAGAAGTACCTGTGCTTCACTCTGACGACGACGCGGAGGTCACCTCTGTTCATCCAACACAAGTGCAAATGCGCCAACTTCTACATGATGAGCTCTCAGCGAATCATATTTCAAAATAACCATTCCTGGAGAGGGTATTACAACAGCACTGCTGCACAGCACTGGTGGAGCATGATACGAACCATACCTTGATGGCGAAGTACGCTGGCGGCACCGCCGGCACCGCTTCGCCTGGAAGCTCTACGGCACGCAACACCTCCCCGAACTGGCACTGCCGGGAGGAGTCGACCACCCTCCAGCGGCGGCCTGTCGCCTGTGACACGAGCGTGACGCTTTCGTCGTAGTCGACGACCTTGAGGGCCGGCGAGAAATTCGGCTCCGGAAAGCTAAGCGGGCCTCTGGCATCATCGTCTTCAGCAGTGGAAGAAGAGGTGCTGGTACCCGCCGTTGACGCCACCTGCTGGTGCGGCGCACGTGTACTAGCGGGCTTTTGGTGGACTGGTTCCGGACCGGTCCGCGTGGTCGCCGTACGTCGTTCCTGCGGCGGCGGCGGCGGCGGCGGCGGCGGCGGGGTCGAGCTGTGGTGGCGACGCTTGTTTTTGAAGACCTTCTCGTACCAGGAGAATCTCGATCGCTCTCCGCTGTTTGGCTGCTGTACTGGAAGAGCCATGATCTTTTCCCTGCTTGCGCGTGAGAATGTGAGTGATGATGAGGGCCAACGGCGGAGAGCGGGCGGGATTACTACACCGAAATTCAGCGCAACAATTCACAATTTGCCGTTTTTTAGCCGCTCACCCAACTCCGCAGCAGCACGGCTCCTGGATTGCCTGTACAAGGCTGCGACTCAGCAGGGCTGCCCAGCCACGCTGCGATCCAGACAACACAACCTTGGGTATGCAGAGAAGGTGC